TGGCAATCTTCATCACTTATCCTTTTCAGAATACTAAGAACCTGAATAAACAGGCAAACTAATGTTCAGTTCCATGGAGCACCACAGTCGGAAGGGGTTAAAAAAATACCCTTCATGCCCAATAAAGAGAAAGCCAACAGATACGGGTGAATTCCATTCCCAAAAGTCAATTAGACTCCAAGACAAGTCACCTTTTCTGCAGAAAGCTGTTGCTTTCGCTCAACAGGTTCAGGCAACTGCTCTTGATCATCATTTTTCTTTTTCTGAACCTTGTATTCAGCAACCATTTTCATTCCATCAATAGTAAGTTTTGGCTGCTGAGCACCACAACCACCCCGTGTCTTCTTAACTGGTTCTTCAGAATCTTGACCTTGAACATCAATTTCATCACCTCCTTCGCATTTACTTTTGTTTTTGCAGGCATCCAATATCTTCTTAAGTCTATTCTTAGGATTTCTTATCCTGAGTGCCTGCTTGAACTTGGGATCCTCCTGTATTTACGACAAGAAGAGACCACTGTTAAGATAATGGAACCCATTTATTCACTATTGTTAAGCAGATATGCTTTTAAATCATCCATAAGAACCCTTCTAAACCATTTCTGTCCGGGGTAGAGTTGGTATAAAAATATAATTTTCAAATAGTATTGGAAGTAAAGCTCCTGCCTCCACTAGTATGTATTAAGTGAAGTAGCTGCCTGTTGCACAAAGGTCTGCCTAATGCCAGTGCCAAAAAAAAAGGACAGCCAAACACCACATATAGATGGAATCGAGGAACATGTCACAGATGAACCATTTGTACAATCAACTGATTTAAAACTCCTAGCCACAAAAACAAAACAATTACATCTTTATAGATACAAAAAAGATCAATCACTGAGAAACTAAATATAGCGAGAACAATGGGTATGATGCAAGAGCTGATTAAGTGGAAATAAAGATTCTTCAGTACCATAGATTCAGCATCCAAACACCTATAACCTAAAACAAACTGCATAACTATACAGTGATTTTCCAACTGAAGCCATCATAAATGTTTTTGACACCTCCATTTATCTTGCATCCTCTGCATCAAAGGAACAACACATAACATCATTTAATAGTTGTTACTGACTCTAAAAATATCTTCCCTTAATTCTAAGCAGAGTGCAATTCATAACATTTGTTGACAATCAAACTTTCCAAGCCTAAGCAAAGATTAGGTATAGATGGGTAAATGATTTCATATGATCAGCTTTATAAAGCAGTTAACCCTATAAAAGAAGGAACTAGATAGCAAATATTTGAGATCCTAGAATTTCATCAAATTACACTAATTTAGAGCAACAGGGAATGCGCCCATGTGCATGTGACAAGAGGAATGCAGCCATAACTCGAGTTAGGTGCAGGTTGCGCAATATTTACAGCTATGCTGTGGGCCTACGAATTTTCAACCAGCACTTGCTATGTACGACTGAATTGGCAAGAAAACTTATCAGGGTTCATTGATTTACATATCATTGCTCTGCAACAAGGGAATTTTAAAACCACAGATGATTATTCAACATGTCAAACATCCAAATGTTAAGAGCTAAACTGTAATATAGCAACTTGCATACAGATATCTCGTCTGCTAATATCTCCACCAATTAAGTTGGAAAGAAAGATCAACACAGTTTGTCGGTATACGTCTAATGCATTACTCTTGTTAAATTCTCATGCTTTTGAAGAAAAATTAATTACTAAGCATGTGAAAACTCCAAAATATTCAGGGCTAATTTTAGTAATGATTTGTGCAAAGGTACCTCATCTGCTAGTATTTTGGAGCAGTTAAAGCATACGCAACGCATAATACTGAGCACTGTCTTTATAAAACCAATGTGAAACATAGGCTTTGCTAGCTCAAGATGACCAAAATGACCGGGGCATTCCGCCATACTAGCCATACAAGTTTCACATTTCATCTTCCGATCAATTGTCCCCAGCCGGGGGTCACTCAAACCCCCTATCTTCGGCTTTCCCCTCTCTGTCGTCTCGCTGTGCTCTATATGCACCACTGACATTTGTCTCTGCAATCAATCCAAAAACAGTAACTCAGCTCCAGTAAGGCAGAGTGAAAATCAATATCAAAACCCAAATCCAAAACCCTGGAGTAGATATAATTTGCGAAAAGGGCATGGAGTTTAGAGAAATTACAATTTCATCGGGGCTGAGGATGCCGAACTGGACCACCCGGACCTTGGCCACCTCCGCCGGAGAGTACGGGAATCGTACATCCATGGTAGCAGGCACCGAGACCCAATTTTAGGGTTTCTCAAACCACACAAGAATTGTCAGCTAAAACGTTACGGCGGCTTTTCATTAATTGGATTAAAATTTAATTTGTCCTTCTTCCCTTTTTTCTGTTATTACCAGTCTTTCCTCAGTTGAGATCTGAAGCGATCGCTCCCTTCTTCTCACTCGGGAGGAAGGAGACCCTTGAGAAACCTCAGAAATGAGGGGATAGGGGGGTATTTATAGAAGGGAGACCCTCCATTGTACGCCATCTGTTGACCGACCTTTCGGGGCGGCTAATATGCGCCGGGTGTAATTGCGTCTTATCGAACAATTAAAAAAAAAAAAAAGGACAATAATTTGTAAAAGAAAGAAGAAAAGGAAGTAGAAGAAGCAAAAACAGGCTTGATTCGATTTGCAAGTCCTATCAGAATTGGCCGTTGCCAGTCATACGTAATTTCAGTAGTAATTTATTCAATAAATAATTGCTAGTAATTCCTAGCTACTATATTTGCAATTTTTTTGGGTAGTTTTTACATAAATATGTTGAGGTGGTAATTACCTTTTTGTCTAAGTGACTACAATAAAATATTTATTTCAAGATCTTCTACTTGTTCACCACATTTTTTGCAATCTTAGTATTTTTTTAAAAAAATAATTATAATATTTTTTGTGACTTTATGTATATGATGTGAAAATGTGATTAAAAAAATTCTTAAAAAAGTGCTTACAATAGAATGAAATAATTATTTTTTTAATAAAAAGCTATCCAAACACGTGTCACAAGATGAAAAGTATAAATCCTTTCTTTCTTTCTTTAAAATATTCTCCTATAGCCCTCGTACCATTTTGAGACGACTTACTATTCATTACCTTACTCGAGATTTGAAGTTTCTCTTTGGAAAAAAACTGTAAAAAAAAAAAAAAAAAAGAATCAATAAAAATAAGAACCAAAATTGCCCTGTAATACAAGTTCATCAGTCAAAATTCTTGAAAGCATAAAATACCAGTAACTACTAACAAGCATAATGATAAGATCCTGTAACAGTTTAGCTAATTTACTGACATAAAAGTTATTTTTCCATGCTTCATTATTATTGGAATGCCGAAACATGCATGACCATTAATTTATTTTATACTAAACTATTCGTTGACATGAGAACAAGATTGCAAGTTACAATAGAAACCCACAATAATAAAAAGTAAATCTAAGCATGACAAATAGTATGACAAACCTTATAAACCTTATATAGTATGACAAATATTAAAGTACTGTGATTGCATTTTCAAGAAAGCTAAGCATGATTAAATTCTCAATGACCGTTTCCAAACCCGAATAATGAGTTTAAACCATTTTTCGTCTAGGGTTAATTGCATTGACCTATTAAAGATTTGCGCTAAATTACACGTTTCTCAATAGGAATGGCACCGTTGTCCACTAATTCCTTTCGTCCCCATCCCTCACCCTCCCCCCTCCCTCGTGCCACTTCCCTCACGTTGTTAATAAAAAATTTGTCATATAATTTTATTATAGTTAAATTTCAGTAAATAATCAAATACTAAAATATTAATACATCACTAAATTATTATCCATTGTAATTTCACAATTAAAACCCATAAAACAATCAAAAAAAGTTATTTGAATACAATCAAACATGATAAAACTAATACAATTAAAGTAGTCAAGTTTTTACTTTTGATACAAATACAATTACTAAGGCATTATTGTGTTTTTTTTAGAAAAAAATGTTATTGTGTTAAGTGTAATTAGAAATTTAGTATAAATGTATTAGTAAATTTAGTATAACTAATTAATAATTTCTATTAGTAGACATGCATAATTATTAGTATAATTGATAATATTAATTATATTACATATATTAATATATATTATATAATACTTATAACTAATAATATAATTATTATAAGTTTGTAACTAATTAAATTAAATATTATATATATATAATTATATACATATTTATTTATTTATTTTAACAGGTGGCGGGACGGGGCGAATGGGGGGACGAGGCGAATGGGGAAAAAAAATCCCCCCCTCCCCCCTCCCCGGCGCCCTCTCAATCACCACCCCATTAGCCCTCCATGAGCACCCGCCTCAATTACCATTCCTATTTTTCAATTGGGAATTAGGCATCTTGGAGTAGAGGCAAAGCAGAGGTAAAGAATTACTATTTGGTTTTTTAAGATTTGGGCTAGCTAGGGCATAAGCTAATGATGTGTAATTTGAAACAGAAGTGACTTGATATTAGAGGTGTAAATCAGTTTTGTCCGTCATAATGTTTAAATTTGTTTAGTTATTTTAATGAATTTGAAATTTTGTTAAATTTTGATTTATTTATCTATTGAACTGATATTGGATGATTTTTTTTTATCGAATTTGAATATTATTAAACACAAAATACTGTTGAAACTTTATTTGACTAGTTAGTGAATCAAACTTGAACAAACTCTCACCAAATCAAATTCATTCAAATATTAAGTAATTTGGTTTACCTTTCAGCTCTACCTGAGAATGAAACGTATGAAAGAATTGTAATTTGATTGCTTTGTAAAACTTCTGTATGGGGTTTTTGTTCATTTTCTTCCATCTATCTGTTCTTGTTTGGTCAAATGTTCATTTATACTTTCCAAATGGAGAGTCCACCCTTGTTTAATCAAGGGGGTTGATTGTAATGTTTCAATACTTATAGATCTAATTATAGTTTTAGCAAACAATTAACCATTTCTTTCAAGAACATCCTCCATTTTGCTGCCGCGTACCGGCATTGCCATCTAGAACTTAGAACTTTCCACGGACAACGATTGGCCACGGCAATTTTCTAACCTGTTTAAGCCTTCAAAACCCATTTGCAATTTCTAACCACATTCATCTCTACAGCCAAAGGTATACAAGCAACGAAAAATGGCATCGGTCTACAGCTGCAAAGAGTGCGGAGCCAATCTAAACCTCCACACGTTCCATCTCTACCCACCGGATTTCTATTTTGAGGCAGGCAATAAAGGGACTCTTTCTTTTGCCATGATTGACTCTTCCAAATTCAGCTACCAGAAGGAAAACAAGTTCGTACCTTTTTTCGAGACAGTCAATTATTGGGGCATCCAAAGGAATCGAACCAAGATCATGTGCAATAGTTGCGGCAAACGGGTCGGTTATATTTACGATGACGGGCCACCCATGACTGATAGTCCGGGCCAGCTCCATATGGGACCTAGTCAGGTTATTCCTAGAGCTCCAAGGTACAGATTCAAGACCAAGGCTTTAAGGATCACTTCAGAGACCTGAGCAAGATTGTATTTTTTTTCCCTTGGGTTTTGGGTTTTATGATGATGGGTGCTTCCCTTGTATTTTGTGGCCTTTAGGGCGTCTATACTCTAGAGAGTCTTGATATAGAAGGTGTATTTTTGAATCTGTTTTGTAAAAAATGGAATTGTTGGAATAAAGGCTTCTTTTTTGTTATGTTCTGGTTGGTTTTGTTGGTATATTTAGCTGCTCAGAATCCAATTGCAATCTTGAGGAAATTGATGGATTTGTTTGAAGCTGCCGACTGGCTGAGAAATGATGATGGCAGCACGTTATTAAAATATGTCTAAAGAGTGATTAAGGTAGATACGTCCATCTCTATGTTGTTAATGTTTTCCCTGCGAGGTGCAGTCTCTTTCATTTTCAGGCAAACTATGATAAAATTGAAAGCTTTTGAAGTAGAGTTCCCAACTTGGTTTCTAGCAGCATTCGATGTCCAGCATTTGAGTGTCTCCTGTGGACTGGTAGGTTATTGACATCTAACCGTACGCAGATGAGATGTTTCGTATTTGGTTCGAGAAAGTAAGTAGCAACATGCTGTCAATCTTACCCTTTCACTGGAAATGTCAAGGTTGCATCTACCAGTCAGATTTTGCTCCTTTTCTCTTTCAAGTCAGTCAGATTTTCATTTGCTCTCACTTGCTTGTACAGTGTATGGACTAACAGAATTGTGCAAGTTATTTATGCAGAAGAGTTGCGCCTAGAGAAGACAAATCATGGTCACCTAGTCTCTCTGACAGTTAGGTTGGAAGTTGAATCATTAGCTGCAGCACATTCATGAAACTTGTGCGTCTTAACTCTCAAGGACTTGAGCTCCACTATAAGAATTGGAGAAACAACAGATCAAATTTGTTAGGGGCTCTCTGCATGAGTAAAATTGGTTAGAAATTTTCAAAATGATGCAAATCGAAACTAAAAGCGAAACTCATAGTTCGAGGCTAAAGATGGGCTCTACTCCACCACCTCCTCCTCCTCTGCCACCATTACCCAAGTTTTCGTGTACTGCCAATCCAGCAATAAAGCGACCAACAGTGGTGAGCGTGACTAATCAAGAGATTGCTATGTATTGGAGGCAAAGGAGTATGGTCGAGGAAGATCACCTGCTTGCTGCAATCAAAGCTGCTGCTCGTATCAGGGCGCGCAATCTGTCAGTAAGTTTCATCGTAGAGTTCTTGCTACAAACACAAAAGTTTGAGGATCCTGGAAAAATGGCTTTCAAGAATTACCATGAATTGCATTTGAGTTCAGTTTTATTGGATACTGGAACGAAGATTCTTATCTAACAAAGTATGCTCCAGGCATTGAGATTTTATTAACAGTTTTCTGTTTATCAAAAAAGGAAAAGTCACTAAATTTTGACGAAGTAGAAACATGCTTCCTTGCTTGACTTGGTCCACATCAAGTCCATTCTACAAGGATATCACCAATGTTTTCCATTTTGCATTTTGGTTTATAAACTTACGGATGCTACTGCTGTTTTATCTTTTTATTCTTATTCACGGTTCTGGTGATGGTATGCTAGAAATAAGGAGCTTGATAGAACTGATTATGGTGGCCGGTCAATCAATGCAAAAGAGTACTTTATAAGCATTCTTTAATTCAAAATCATTAGAACCCTTGATTGATTCATGTTTGTGGCTTTATTCTCATCACCTAACATCTTATTTCCTGGATAAATTTTCGTTTTCTCAGATAAAGACATGGTCTTGGACTGCATTTAAATAGAAGACCTGCTTGATACAGGCCATTGTCTTTCATTTGCTAGCATCCAATTTCAACTTAACTGCAGAGCGGTCACGAATTTCCTCTCTAATACTTGTATAGTGGGATAATTCAACAGCCAACCATGCCCATTAACATACAGTATTTCCGGCCATTTTTCGACAAAAAATTTCGGTTTAAAGGGCAAGCATTTGTCTGTAGATCTTGTTTTTGTTAACTTTGTCTGGGGAAACGTGTAAAGAGGGATGATTTTGATTTTAAATGCTGGTATTGGTGATTAATGTTCTTGAATATCTGGTGTACAGGAAGATGATTATCGGCGATTTGAGGAATCTTTGAAGGAGGATGATGATGGTAAAGAAAAGGATACTGCTAAAAGCTTTAGCCAGAAGGATGAGAAGATTAAAGAGTTGCGAGTAGGAATAAAGGATTGGTAAGTTGAAGAGGCTCACTGAGATGTTTTAGCAATCTCATTGATTGTAGCTGGCTCTGCCACACTCCTTTATTATGCCACATTGCTGAGATTACAATATTCAGTTATGCTTTTAGTTGTCATATAAATTTCTCTCCTACCCAAATATGCAGGTGGACAAAGAGCAAATATGCATATCTGAACCAGCCAGTCATCGAGTCCATGGATACGCCCAAACGAAGAGCATCAACCCATATCCCGCAATTTTGTTGTTACATGTCAGCTCCTCCTCCAGCTACTAGAAATTTGGGAATCTTTTAGGAATGTAGGTGCTGTACTACACGATCAATTTAAAAGTGAAAAGTGCTCTGATATGCATCCAAGCCCTTATCTGCTGGCTTTGATTTCACTGCTTTTTATATAAGAATTATGTATGTGATAGCCATCCTGGTTTCTCTTCGAGAACTACTAGCTTTCAGAAGGCTCTTCAAGTACTCGAGTTTTGCCTCCAGGTTTTTCCATTGATCATTGAATAGTGCTTTGTTGTCTACCGATCTGATTGTGAAATTGTTAGATATTCTAATTGACCGCCTCTCAACTGCCTCTTATCATAAATGAAAAAGCTGTAGGCGTGTGAGAAATGTCAAACGAACCTGTTAAAATTATACACAAGTATCAATAGATAAATGAAATGCCGTGTTTTCCCTGCGTGGCCGTGGACAATGGATACTTGTATAGACCCACTGTTCATAGTCTATGATGATGGAAAGTGGATTGCGATTTTTTCTCAAAAAAATTATTATATTTTTCGTGAACATATTTTTCTATCACCTTTTTACTTCATATGTATCAAATCGATACAGTAATTTTTCTACAAAAAAAAAAATCCAGATAAAAGCAATCCAAACGGGGCATTTTCCCAAGAAGGATTTCCTTCCAAATTCCAATGTTCATCAATAAAAATGATAAAGCCGGTTTTGTACCAAAACTACCAACTTTATTTATCCGCAATTCAACGCTATCTGCGTTTCAGCAAGTGTAGAGTCAAAACGTTTGTGTAATGAACTTAACCCAAGTGCAACTGCACTAGTCAGAATTATGAGCGCCAGCTCCAAAACACACCCAACCCATGTGCCTCCTTCACTCGGGTTTTTGTCGGTAGAACTTGGACAAGGGACCGGAACATTTTGTCAGAAAATTATTCGGAATGATTTTGTGTAAAATGTACAAATTATGTTTTGTATGTATACAGTATAATTTATTTTTAATAATATATAATTATAAAATAAAATTTTATAAATTTTATATATAACGTGAAAAATGACGTACAATATGCAATTTGAGTCTTATATGTTTTTTGGATCAAATCTTAGCCATAAATCTTCAGGAACGGTTGCATGCCCTCCTCCATAAAACTTGAAGGGATGCATTGGCTATTGGTAATTTTATTCGACACTTTTGCCAACTAATGCCAGTGGCCGGTCCTTAATTTTTTTTTTTTTTTAACACATAACAATCTCAACGCATCTTCGAAGAAAATGTCAATATGCATCGGACGGGGGAGTTGACCCCAACTCATGGTCATGGGTGAACGTGCATTACACTTTTTTTAAAAAATTTTTTTATTGAGTATCTATTAGATAGATATTGGTTAACATATAATATAAAGTTTTTTTTTTTTTGCGCAAAGACCTTTTTTCTTTATTTGGAAATAATTATTTCAAGAAACCAATGTGCTAACTTAATCAAAACTAGCGCTTTTGCTATTCAAAGTTTCAAACAATAATTTGACTTGTTGCCATCAAATTAAAGCAACTAGTATGAATTTTTATTTTGGTCAATCCCCAGCTTTGTTTTAGAATCATAATTTATATTTTTAAGAGGGGAAAAATGTAAAACAAAAAAGGAAAAATGATCGGTTTCATCTTTCACATTTCACAAAAATATTCTTCTCGTCCCTCACTTTTAAAATGAACCAATTTCGTCCTTGACATTTAAAAACTGAAATTATTACATCCCTGAACCCAAATTTCAATCTGAATCAAACCACCAATCAACCTGATTACAAATTTCGGGGGTGTAATTAGTAGATCACTTGGTTAACTCAACTTGATATTCATGTGAAAATTAATGAACCTAAAAATAAAAAATAAAAAATTATAACATAAAAAAGAAAGATTAATCTTTCCTATATTATCATTGTATACACTGACAGTTTTATGTACCACCATATCATTTTAATTTAAATTTAAACACCAAATTTTATATTTATGATACACATTTAGATTCGCAAGCGGATATACTAACGGTGCATGAAAAGATTTACAAAAAAAAAAACTCTACTATTCCAAGACAAATAATGGTCTTTTATGTTATAATTTTTATTTTTTTGGTTTAATAAATGTCATGTGAATATGATGAAGTTAACCGAATGATCTATCAATTCTATTTTCGAAATTTATTACTGGGTTATTGGATGATTTGATTCAGATTGAAAATTAGGTTCAGGGATGTAATAGCTTTAATTTTTAAATGTCAGGGATGAATTTGCTTCATTTTAAAAGTAAGGGATGAAAAAAATATTTTTGCAAAATGTAAGGGACGAAACATGTCATTTTCCCAACAAAAAAACAACAACAATATGGGTTGCCAATATCATATATAAATTACAAGACAAAATATATATTTCAACTCTAGTACTCCGTATCAAGTATAAAGTTGAAGTGCAAGAATGAATACATAACGTATTTAGAAAAGGAGGAGAATGTGTGCTGGAGTGGCGGTGTATGGCCATATTTTCAGCTGCTACTGCTTTGTGTATGAGTACTAGTCTTTAATTATTCATTAATTAAAAGCCTAACTTCTCTCTTGGCGTACTATCTCCAATTTCAACTGAAAAATTCCCAGATTACACAACAAAATTGAACGAGACTTGTTGGTCGATTCCTAAATTCATCCCCCGAAGATCTCCGAAAGTGAAATTTGCAATGGCGGTGAAGGGGCGCCACCTGAGGGGTCCGTCGCGGAAAGCGACGTCGTCTTCCACATTGATTTTCGCTATGTTTATCATGTTCTCCTTTTTGTTGTTGATTATGTTATCCCTCGGATTACTCTCCATTCCCAGCACTTCTAGAGATTCTCAGAAAGCGCACGATCTCAGCACAATTGCCCATAACAGTATTGATAGGTAACGATACATTGAAATGAAATCACGGGTGTTTGAATTGTTAAATTGCTTTCTTGTTTTCCTGTTTGAACTTTTTGCGATCTGGAGTTTGATTTTTGCTTTTTGTTTTTTTGGTGCAGAGGTGATGAAGATGATGATGAGGGGAGGGGAGATCAGTGGGTTGAAGTTATCTCTTGGGAACCTAGAGCAGTTGTTTACCACAATTTCTTGGTAAACTTTCTTCCCCCCCTCTCTGGTTGGGTCATATGGTATTTTTATTTGTTATTAGTGAATTAGTCTGCATGTTTTTGTATGCATATCCGTGGCGAATGGTTGAAGAACTGATTAGGGAAGAGGCCCAATAGTAAGGCTGGAGAAAAATCAGTATATTTGGTGGTTATAGATGTTGATTTGCAGGAGTCGTGAGAATGTAATTTGATTGGAAATGAAATTCATTTGAAGAAGTCGATAAAAATTTGTTATGTATCTGCCAGTTTAATTGGTTTCATTGAATTCGTTTAGATCTTCTGTGCTAGTTGATTTATGTGGCTGAATTTACAAATGTTTTCTCTGAATTTGCGTGTAATTAAGTTCATAACTGAGGGTTGCTTTAACTGAGATGTGCCTTGGCATTGCTAGCTGCCTAGTAGATTAGTTGCCAGGATTAGGATTTGAAGGTACATATATGTGATCCTATAAATCCTGAAATGATTGTTGCTTGACTTTGTAGGCAATTTTGTGCTGTATGTTTATAAGTGAGGAAGATGTATGTATTCAAGTTTCATTAGGAAACATGATGTGCGATGTGTGTCATATCAGGCTTACTTTAATCTTTTTTGCCATTTCACTAGAAATTCTATTATCTTCCTTAAGATATTGATTTGCTTGAAGCCTTTGTATGATTTTTATTTTTTCTGGAAAAGAGAGAAGATCGGTTCGAAGTTACTTATTTCGATTTTTTTCCCCTCCTCTTGGCTTGTGCAGTCTATAGAAGAGTGTGAATATCTGATCAATCTTGCCAAGCCACATATGCAAAAGTCAACAGTTGTGGATAGTGCTACTGGCAAAAGTAAAGATAGTAGGTTTGTACTCGTTATTCTTTTCTGCCACCAAAATGTAAATTTTGCTTAAAAAGACGAAAACTTTGGCCATTCATTCTGTCTGTCATCTTTTAATTGAAATCTTCTGTGATTTCTTTTGCATGCAGAGTTCGTACAAGCTCCGGAACATTTCTTGCTAGAGGACGTGATAAAACGGTCAGGGAAATTGAGAAAAGAATTGCAGATTTTGCCTTCATACCCGTAGGTATGTTTGAAGATACGTTATTATGTCTTTTGCCTATAAGAATGCATGTGTTTTAGCAACAGATAGGGAATAATCATTAGTAGTGTTACCAAGTGTTTTCCTTCAGGACTTTTTCACTATAATCTTTTGGCAGGAAGACTAAGGATGTCAACCATGTAATTTTTTTACTCTGACCTGTCTGGTTTTTGGGCCCATCTTTTGTGGCATTTAGTGGTTGTTACGTTGTCTAGGAAATTTTGATGACTGCTGGTATTTTTCTTGGCATTTAGTCTTGGTGATGTTGAGCTTCCTTACGATTTTGCCTCATGGCTCTTGTTTCTCAGCATTATGAACTCTCCTCGTTACTGTGTTTGTTGTTTGTGGCACTACCTTTTCTGCCTCACCATCTCTTTGCTGCCATTGAATAGCTATTGCTCTTACAGTGTTTGAATCTCTATCTTATATGCTTTATTTCCTTGACTCCTTCAGTGTCTATTGGTGCCAAATTTCTCATTTTCTAAGCTAATAATAAAGTTTTCCAGGAACTTATTTCATGATAAGGGAGAGCATTTGTTTGATTCTGGTTTCATGCTAATTCACTACTTTCAAGCTGATTTTTGTTGACAGTATTGAACTTTTCCTCCTTTTTACGATTAGTTTGGATGACCTTTCATATATCTATCCCACCTTAAAATATTTATGAGTCAATCCTGGAATGTACAGAGCATGGGGAGGGACTTCAAATTCTGCACTATGAGGTGGGTCAAAAGTATGAGCCTCATTATGATTACTTTCTTGATGAGTTCAACACCAGGAATGGGGGCCAACGCATAGCTACAGTTCTTATGTATTTGTAAGTTATCTTTCTTCTTGTGGTTTTGTATGTAGTGTATGTTTGTGTATCTTAGTCTAATAGTCTAGTTTCCTCTCCTCACATAATTATGAGCAGGTCAGATATTGAAGAGGGCGGAGAAACAGTTTTTCCTGCAGCCAAAGGAAATATTAGTGCTGTACCTTGGTGGAATGAGCTGTCTGAATGTGGAAAAGGAGGGCTTTCTGTTAAACCAAAGAGGGGTGATGCTTTGCTGTTTTGGAGCATGAA